CTTTAGGTAGGCCGAATTGGCAAATGATATTTTTCCATACGAAGGCGATTACCTCTTGCTCACGCATTTGGACGAATGCTCCTACTTCCACCCATTTGGAGAAATAGTCAGTCAAAACTAAAAGAAATTTTACGTTACCTCGTCCCGACGGGAGTGGACTCACGATGTCTATTCCCCACTTAATGAACGACCATGGAGAGGTGACCGAATAAAGGTGTTTGCCTGCCTGGTGGATTATTGGGGCGTACTTTTGACACTGCTCGCATTTCTTCACGAACTCTAAGGTGTCTTTCTTCATGGTGGGACAATAATACTCGGCCCGTATGAGGCACCTGACGAGTGCTCGATCACCAGAATAAGCGCCGCAATGACCTTCGTGGACTTCCGCGAGAACGTGTTGGGTTTAGTTTGGGCCTAAGTATTTTTCCAAAGGACCGCCATACATTCTTTTGTATAAGTCCTTATGAAGGAGGCTACATCTAGTGACTTATATTCTTAGCTTTTTAGCTTCCTTTTTGTCATTCGGGAGGATGTCAACCTGTAAATACGTAATAATACAATTGCGCCAATCCTAATTTTAATTTACATATTTTACCTCGATTTGATCTAGTGATGAGTTAAGGAGATGGACTACGCTTTTGTCTCCAGCCGTTATGCTTTTGGTGGCGGTGGCCAATTTGGTGAGGTCGTCTGCTTTGATATTTTGAGTTCGTGTGATCTGGTCAAGCTGGCATTCGTCAAAATTGGGCAATAATTTGCAGATCTCGGTTTGATATTTTTGCAACCTTTGTTCTTTGATTTGGGAAGTCCCGACAACTTGGTTGACTACGAGCTGAGAATCACAACGGAGTTTCAACCACTTCGCCTCATACTTGAGTTCTAGTCTTAACCATATAATTATGGCCTCATACTCGGCCTTCTTATTCATCATTTTCGGGCACCTTATAGACTAGCTCATGCTTTGCCGCCGCGTCGATGAGTTGGTCGATATGTGGCAACAGTAATGAATCTTTTGGGGCATGCTTTATTTAGATCTGTAAAGTCCACACACATCCTTCATTTCCTGTTTTTCTTTTTTACCATCACTACATTGGCAATCCATTTGGGTTGCTTCGATTCCCTAATAAAACCGTTTGCCAATAACTTTTCTACTTCCTCGTGGATAGCCTCATTAATGGCAGGCTTGAACTTTCGTCGGACTTGCCCTACCGAGGGGTAGGGGGTCGACGTTCAGTTTGTGTGTGGCGATCTCTTTGGGGATGCCTGGCATATCTGCATGACTAAAGGCAAACAAATCTGCATTAGTTATCAAGAATTGACTAAATTTACCTGGACGGGGTCGAGGTCTTCTATGGTTGAATCTGCGACTTCGACCATTTCGAGGTCCGTAATGACTTCCTTGGCTTCATCTTGTGGCGACCTCGACCCTGCTGATTGATATGCTTTTTTTCCGTATCTTTCTTTTTTTGAGTTATCGTGTTGTCCATGGCGATTCGATAGGATTCCCAGGATGTGCGATGTTCCCCTCGTATGTTGAATATTCCCCAAGGTGTTGGAAATTTGATCACTTGGTACAAGTTGGAGGGGACGACTCTCATGGGGTGTATCCATGATCGTCCCACGATGGCATTATATGTCACCGCCTAGTCAATAATATGGAATGTTATCTCTAGAGTTACTCCACCCGCGAGAACGAAGAGTGTAATTTCCCCCGAAGTCCATTCAACTGCATTGTTAAAACTGGTTAGTGTGATGTAACGTGGCACTATCTTGTCCTCGAGTCTCATCTATGCAAAGACGCGGGGATGGATGATGCACACTCCACTTCTATTATCTACCATGATTCTTTTAACATCAGTATCTAAAATTCATAAAGTAATGACAAGTGCATCATTGTGAGGAAAAGTTAAACCGTCGACATCTGACTCATCGAAGATGATACTCTCTTCGAGTCAGTCATACCGTTTGTGGGTGATAAACCTTTTGAGCTTGTGGGTGGAGGTGAACTTGATGCTATTGATAGATGCATCGTTGCTGCCACCAATAATTATATTGATGGTACGAGCTGGTAAATGGGGCTTTCCCAGTCCCGGACATTCTAGACTCCTTGCTAAGGTGTTCCTGCCTTTATCGCTAAGTAGTTCTTTGAGGTGCCCTTGCTGCAGCAGGTTCGCTACCTCTAGCCTTAGGGCGATGCAGTTTTCTATTTTGTGTACATGTTCTTGGTGGAGCTCACAAGCCGTAGGATTTCCTGGTGCTTGGGTCGCACCTCATCTTTGGTGTCCATTTTACCTTTTCTCCGAGCTTCTCAAGGGCATAGACCACCTCTGTAGGTGAAACACAAAAATTATGAGCAAATAACAAGGGAGCATACCTTTGTCGTTCCTGATCTCGGCCTAGACGGGTTATTTTCATAATGAAAGGGGGGAACGGGTGTCCTGAAATAGGACTGGTGTCATCCTCACCCTGTTGAACCGGGCAAGGAAGTCCCTCGGTCCTTCTCCTAGGGATTGCTTGATAGCGAAGATGTCGTTTACTCTTGTTTCGGCTTTCTTGGCCCCGACGTATGTCGTTATGAACTTATCGGCCATCTCATTGAACGTTTCCATGGAACATACTGGTAACTATGAATACCATGTCAATGCCCCCTCTAGTGAGGGTTTCGCCAAATTTTTTCAGCAAGATGGAGGACACATGCTCTTTGGTGACACCGTTGCCTTTCACAGCGGTAAAGTAGTGGGTCACATGATCCTCGGGATCGGTCGTCCCATCGTATATTCTGAGATATGGGGCATCTTTAAGGTCTTTGGTATGGCATGTGGAGCCGCTTCCTCGCTATATGGTTGTTCTACGAACCTGTCAGCGTCCCTTTTTGGCAGCAATTTGGGGCGCCAGGTATTTTGTCTACTCGTTCCTGGTGCTCTTTCATTTGATCTCTGAGCGTCTTGTTTTTGTTTTCTATTTATTCCATTCTTTTTTAGCACCGCGGTGAGGACGCTATCACTTGCATTATCAGTAATATTATGAGTTTTACCTGGAGTCGAAGGGTCTGGTTGGTCGTCCAGTTCATCCCCTCGTTGTGTTGCATGAACTTCTGTGGTTTCCGTGGTCATGCATGGCGCTTGTTTACTGAGCACGCTGAACAGGGTATCAGTTAGCCACGCTTTGAGGAGCTTTTTCATAGCGGGTGGCGTCCCCTCTCCTGCGGGCGTGGAGACCCCTTTCCTGTTTGGTTTTATTGTGCTGCAGAAAGGTGGGGGTGACCTTTCTCGTCTAGGAGAGGTCATGGGCGTTATCCCCTCATCATAGGTATCATAGCCTTTGTTGATAGCATTCATGAGGTTGAGGAAAACATTATCTGTTGCCCTCACTCCGTTTTCTTGGTTACCTGCCATGAAAATTTTGTACATACAGAGAGGAGAGATAAATTTTATGGTTTGTTAGATTAACAAGTCATGTGAGTTGTAGATCTAATGAAAACTAAAAGGTTGGCTAAGAAAATTCTCACAGACGGCGCCAAACTGTTTGACCCAAAATTTTAGATTTAGGTTTAAACAATCAAATCTTCTAATAGAATAGAGTTAATTTTATCCAATATTAATATTCAAAAAATTATTTAACTGATTTCGCAACAAAATATCACAAGTATCGTTCAAATAGCAATAAATGTGCAATGATAAATAATATTTAATGGCCCAAGAATAAAGAGAATAGCATTAAATAGTAATAAATGATGTATAATGACAATTATGTAAATAAATGCATATGCGTTAACCGAAAAAGGATGAGATTCTTTGATATTCCCCCTGACAATGATAAATGATTGATGAGTCTTTGAATATTCAGATTCTCCATGGATCGTGGGAGAAAAGTTAGATACCGATCTGAAGAAAATGTATATTTTGTATGTATATAATAAAGCAAAAATCTCCAGAGAATGTTAATATGTTGTTTTTTATAAATGAGTGTCCAATCCCCCCTCTATAGCTACATATATTTTTATTTATAAAGGCACATGGGCCACAAAAAACCTAATAGTACAGGTGGGAGGAATATCCCCTAGAATATTCCTTATAATGTCTTATCTCTAAAATTAGTCGTTACTGCCCTTCTAAAGGGAGTGCTCGTCCTCGTCCCTTTGCTGAGTCAGCTCGACCTTGTCTTCAGCCTTCATCATATCACTTCGACCTCACCTTCGTCCTTTGTTGAAGACACGTCGATGACACGTGGTACCCTTCGAAGGCTCTCTTAATGTTGACTTGGCCCACACATAATTAAGATAATTTTTAGCCCATACAATAATAACCATATAAAATCACTAAGATTCAAATAATAAGTCTAAAAATTTTGACCAAATATTTTAAAACTTTAATGCACCACATATGATGATGAATATTGTATCACTTTCACAATTAAAGATTTTATTCAATTTCACAAAAAGATATCTTTGTATATTTTTATTTTATTGCACAAAAATTTAAATCTTTGCATATATAGTTATGAATTTATTGATAACGTATTAGCTTTATTTAATATTTAATGAATAAAATATGCATATCTTTTTGAGATTTTAAATTTGAATAATTTTATTATTCTATTATTATCTTATTTTTCAAGTTATTATTATTATTTCTTTCACTTTAATTATCTTTACTATTTTTGCGGTCAATACTTTTCTTTTCTTTAATATTTTTATTATAACTTTTTTACTCTTGTATTTTTCATTTCTGTTTTAAAAATGCGTAAGTCGAGGATTCATCGGAAATAATTTTTCTACCTTACACAAGTTAGAGGTAAGATCTGTACACCCACTCCATTCGCCCAAGACTTTATTTGTGAAATTACGATGCCTATGTTGTTGTTGTATTATAAAAAAATTATTTTTTGTATATAATATGTATATAATAATTACATCAAATATTGTTATAAGTATATAATAGTTATTTATTATAAAACCTAAAAAAGTTGTCAAAACAAACTTAGATGTTATAAAGGAGTAGATCATTGCATAAGAATCAAAAGGGAAAACAAAAGACTTCTTGTTTGGGGCATGCTGCTTAACTTTTGGGGGGTGCTTTTAACAATTAAAGCAAAATAGTGGAACTCCGACCGCCGGATCTCCATTCCGCCGGCATTATCAACTCCTAACATGGCGGAGGAAGATGATGAATTTCGGAGCTTAACCGATCCAGAATCTGACCCGGATTCAATCCCTATGTTCTTCGATAGAAATCGGCATATTTGCTATTTAGAGATGATGCTGGAACTCATACCTTCACCTTATCAATCGCAAGAGATCAATCGCCTCACTCTCGCTTACTTCGCCATCTCCGGTCTCGACATCCTACGCGCCCTCGATCGCGTACCTTTCACTCTCTTTCGTCTTATTCACAATTGCTTTTAGATATTTACATTTTTTCTAGTACTCTCAGGGAAGTCGATTTTTTTGTCTAAATTATGGTAGTTAATACTCTATTTGTCCCAAAATAATGACAGTGATTTTTATAATTTTAATTATAAAAATTGTTATATACTCCATCCATTTCAGTACTTAATTTTTTTTCTTCCATTAGTATAATAAATTAGTCACATTAACTTGTTGAACTTGTCATATAAATTGACGGATAGCATGAAGTTTTCTTTTTGGGAAAAGGGAGTACTTTGTTTCTTGAAGAGTATCTATCTTTTCAGCCTTAATAAGATTCTCCTTTGATTTATAATTTGCAATGACTGTGACTTACTAATAATCTGGAGTTAACAGCCAGCTATAGTATTTTCGAATACAGCACTC